CCGCATTTGCTTTCTGTGCAATGGGCATTTTGTGTCTCAAGAGCAGCCATTTTGCAAATGCAAACCCTGAAGGGCAGCTACCCTGTGCCAGCTCCCAGCACGAGGGGCTGCGTCCTCCCCCCCCCCCGCCGGACGCGCCTGCGAGATGGGCTGGTACCTTGGTGGGCTCAGCCCAAAGGCACGTGGGCATCTGCCAGCTCCTGGCATTCTGCGCTGCGCGTGGCCCGTCCGCTGAGCCTGTGTTCTCTCCTCTGCCCTGCAGCCAGCCGCCTTCCTGAGAGACGCAGCCGCCTTCTGTGGCAGGGCTTCCCGCTGGCCTTGCCGAGGACGCCTGAGCACGGGGCTGCCCTTTCCGCCCCGGGAAGAGACCGGCCGTGGCACACTTCCCCAGCGGTGGAGCTGCCGGTGAAATCGGTGCCCGGTGCCCCGAAATCCTGCCGGACGGCTTCTGCGCTGGTCGGCTCTCTCTCTCCATCTTCTGTGCAGACAGACAAGGCCAGAAGAAAGCTGCCACCTTCTCCACCCCCGGATTCCTTCGGAGAGAGCCGGAGCACACTCGCGTCCCGGCGTGATCTGTGCCAGCAGCAAAGGGGGCTGTGCTGGATCAGCATCCGGGAGAGGAAGCAGCGCAAACTGCCGCTCGCTCGGTAGAGGAACCCTTCCTCCGTGGGCTCATTCCCCAGCTGCCCAGCGCAGGGAGAGGCAGCGCCTCCTGCAGGCCGTGGCCCGCACCGAGCGCGTGGCCCAGACCGTGTGGAGCCACGCTGCCGTCCTCCGCCAGGCTCCCGGACCACGCCGCCCCCCCGGCCCGGCTGCGGAGGTGCCCCGGTGCCTGCCCCCCGGCATCGCCGAGCTCCGACCCGAGACCCGCCGGGGCCCCCCGCCAAGGATGAATGAGCTGCTGGACCCCGCTTCCCAGGCCAACCTGGGCGTCGTCTCGGCCACCTGCGTCGCCAAGGTGGAGCTGCGCGTCAGCTGCAAGCACCTGCTGGACCGCGACGCGCTGAACAAGTCCGACCCCTGCGTGGTGGTGCTCATGCAGTCCCAGGGGCAGTGGATGGAGGTGAGCGGCGGCTCGGGGCGTGCGGGGGGCCGGGCTCCCAGAGCGGGGGGCAGCTCCTGTCGGGAGCCGAGGCTGCAGCCAGCGCCCGGGCGCCCCCTCCTCTCCCAGACGCGGCGCCCCTCTTGCGTGGCCCTCCTGACCCTTCCTGGGCTGACCTGAGCGAAGTCTTTGCTGGGGCAGCTCAGGGCCGGCTCTCCGTCCGCCGGCCTTCCAGGCTGTGCTCGGGCAGCTGCCCTGCGGCCACCTGGCTGCGCCTGCCTGCCTGGAGCTGAGTGACCGGCCTGGGGCCGAACAGCAGGGTCCACGCCTCTGGGGGGCCAGGGGCTGGAGGAGCCGTCTGAGCACTGCCTGGGAGACGGATGGAGGGCCGGCTCCAAGCAGCTCCGTCACACGCCCCCCCCCCCGCAGGTACGAGGCCGTGTGCTCGATGGGGTGCTTGGGTCAGTTGCTGGACCTGTTGGGACCCCTCGAAAATGCCAAAGCACCAGCCTCCCCCTTTTCCTGGGAGCCCAAAGGGGGCACCGAGCTGACCAGCTCCCTGCGCCTGTTGCTGGGAGAGGCCCGCGCTCTTCTTGGATGGACAGACAGAGTGAAACTTTCGGAGCTTGTGATCCCAGTTACCTGGCACGCATCCAGGAGGGGAGTGTGGGAATTGGAACTGGGCCACAGAAGAAAACGGAGCAGGCAGATGGGCTCGCTGGTCCCCTCCAGAGTGCCGGGGCAGGGGAGCCGACCCTCTTTCAGCCCGAGGCGCAAGGAGAAGCTCCAGCCATGGGCCTGGCTGAGAGCCAACCCCACAGCCGGCAGGGAAAGCTCCTCCCGCCTTGGGGTGGCCTTGCAGTCTCTCCGAGGGGCGGCCAAGTGGGGCCAGCCGGGAGCCATCTGCCCACGGGGACCCAGGGCGGCGGGCGGCACGAGGGGACGTGGCTCTGGGCGGGTGCATTTCTTTGCATGGAAGCCGCGAGGCGGGGGGGCCGGCTCCTCCATGGGGCAAGCGGGGGAGCGGCTCTGCAGGAGCCGCTTTTGGGGAAGGAGGCGCCCCCCCCCATCACGCAGAACCTCGTCCTGCTCGCTGCGTGTTCGTGGCCGCGGCTGTGTGCCGGGGTTTGTTGGCTTCCGCAGTACGGCTTCCGTGTGGGAGGTTTGTGGAACGGGTTTTGCCCTGCTCGGAGTGCGATCGCTCCGGTCGTGCAGGGGAAGGGCTTCCTCGGCAACCCCAAGGTCCAACTGCTTCGTGCTCATAGCGCTGTGAGGCGCTGCTCGAGCAATTAAAATGACGTCGATTTAAATGCATGTGAAAACTATATTTCTTAAGCAAGACGCACATGATTGTGCTTTATAGAGGGCAGAGTCATGACGGAGCTGTGTGGTGCAGTGGTTACACCCTGGTGCTGGGACTTGAGTGATCCCGGTCCAGGCCGGCACTTGGCCATGAGGTGCCCAGGGAGCCTTTGGGCCCCATCTCAGGCCAGCCCGCCTTCCAGGTTGCTTTGAGGAATCAGTGGAGGGGAAGTGGGCTGCTTCAGCCGCCTTGGGTTTTTTGCACAAAAAAAGACAGGACATAAATATCACTGGCTGGCAAGGGCTGATCTTCAGCCCTTTAATCTGGCCTCCGTTCTCCTGCGTCTCAGGAAGACAAAAGCCTTTTCTGGTCTTGATCCCTGGAATGTGCTCATGAATCTTTTTGTGAGAGTTCCCTGACCTCTTCCTGTGGCATGAAATAACAATGAAAATGACAAAACGAGCCGGAAAGAAAAGAGAGATAGAATTATGGACAGAGAATGGAAACTAGGTGAGCCCCCGTCCGACCGCACGTCTCATCGGGGGCCCCTCCGGTCCCGGCTTAATGAGGAAACCGGGACGGTTCCATTCAAGCCCCGCTGTTCGCGCCAGTTGAAAAGGGAGCCGCGGGCTGGAGGAACCGCCTCTCGACCGAGGCGTGTGCCTCTGCTGCTACTAACGCCACGTCTGCGTGGCCCCGCAGCCGGCCAGGCCAGCGTGTTGCTCCGCCAGCCCCTCATTGGGGCACCGGCTGGAGGCCGCCAGAGGCCCTCGCACCGCCCGCTGCGGGCACCCGCGCTCCCCCGATCAGGGCCGGCACGGGTGGCCCCCGGGGTCTTGCTCCGCCGCTCAGCAGCCCACAGGCCCATGGCCGATTTGGGAGCCAAACCGTCTGCAGGGCCACAAGTAGCTCCGTGGCACTCCTTGCACACCCCACAAGGCGGGGGGGGGCTGATCTCGGGGGGAGAACTCCTGGGGCTGAAGCCCAAGAGAGCCGAGGTTCAGACCCGCGCAGGAACCTACTGCCTGCCCCCGCCCCTGCCCCGGGACTGGCTTGCCCTGCCCTGCCCTGCCCTGCCCTGCTGCTGAGCCCGGGCCAGCTTCCACAGGGCCCTGACGCCCCCCCCCATGGCCCTCACGGCTCCTGGAGCAGCTGCCCCCTTCCTCGCCCCCTTCCAGGCCTCGTGCCAGCCCCTTCCTGCTGGGAACCCGCTGCCTCTGTGTGTGTGCGCAAAAGCTGCCGGCGCTCCCGCGGCTTCCGTCTTCGGCTGCTTCCCTCCGGCTCCCTTGCCCGCACATGTCTCTTTTGTAACAGCTCCAGGGTTAATTGCCTGTAGCTTCAGATCCTCGTTAGATGCTGGCAGCGAGAACGCTCATCCTCTGCGCGAGTCTCTGAGCAGACGGCGGCAATAAAGGCCAGGCGGGTGGGCTGGAGGCCTCGCGACAACCGGCCCTTTGAACCAGCCGGAGGCCTTTTGTCGGCCGAGCGTGTTGGTCCGGAGCGAACATTCTGGCTCCACGTTCCACGGGACGTGGGCGGGGGGCGGCGCGCGGGCCACAGGACGGCACAGAAGTAGAATCGGTGATTATAAGAGTGTGTCGGACACAGAAGCGAATCGGTCTCCTGGCACGTCCTGTGCCAGCCGCCCCAGCATCCCCTGGCATCCCCTGCGATGCCAGTGCGTTGCTGGCGCACTGCGACGCCGTTCAAAAGGAGGTCCTCCATGGGGGGCGACTGGAGGCGGTGGGGAGCCCCTGCCCGCTCTTCCGCGGCCAGGGTGCAGTAGCCGCACCCCTTCCGGCACGGCTTGTGCGCTGCGGGACGACTTGCGTGATTCTGCTTTACAGCACAACAGTCCGTGCTGCCGCCTCTTTCTGTGCTTGCTTGGCCAGGCCGGGCCGGGCATTGCCCTCCTGGCAAGCCGTCAGAGGAGCAACCAAAAGTGCTTCAGGATCCCTCCTGCAGCTCGGGACTAGCAACCCTCCCCACCCCGCTTGCGCCAGTCCTGCCCAGGCCTCGGCTCACGGTCAGGTTCTGCGAGGCCTCCGGTGCAATTAGCCCGGCAACATGCAGTCGCTCCGGAGGCTGCCAGCTGCCCACGGAAGGCAGGGCGCTGCCCCCTTCCAATAAGGCGGAAGGAAGAGGACGAGTCGGCAGCCCACGCGGTTCAGCGTCGCCAGAAAAAGCGGCAGCCCATCCACCACACGGGGAAGAAAAACAACACGATCTTTCCAAAAGCGAGGGAGCTTGTTTGAAAAATCCCAGCTATCGTAACCAATCAACAAACTTTGGCCCGTCTACCTGGTAATTCCAAGTTACATTTAATTGGCCACAAAATCTTGTACACGCTTTGCTTTGATCTAGCAAGCTCTGCTCGGAACGCTGCTCCTAATTGCCAATCATGTTGTTCAGAAACCGCGGCGAAGCTGAAGCAGAGCGGAACAAAAGCTGGGCTGGAGCAGGGGATTTCGGAGGGGAGGGTCCGGCTGCCCTGAGTGGAGGTCGCCTCGTCCAGACCCACACGTCCCCTGCCTTGGACTGCGGTGGCCCCCGGGCCGGGCCGGGCCATTCCAGGTTCTGGGAAGCGCTGCGCGGCGCTGCCTTCGCGCAGTGGGGCGGTGAGATGGGAGCGTGGCCAGGGAGCGCATTAGCTTGCCCACCGGGGCTGCATCCGCCGGGCTAAGTGGCGTTTTGGCCAGCGCTGCCCCATGCCCTTCAGCTCGCCTGCTGCCTCCAGGAGGGACAGGTCCGGGCCGCTGCCCGCAGGAGCCGGCTCCTTCCTGGCACAGCCGCACGCTTCTTCGCGAGCCGAATTCGTTTTCTGAGGCCGACAGGCAAAGACTCCGCTTGTGCTGAGACGGCGTGGCAAAAATCAATAGCGAAATGGGCGCTTGTCTTTGCGAGGGAGCCAAGCCGTCGTGGCCGCGGCAGCCGCCGTGGAAAATCGCTTTGGCTCGTCTCCCAAAGGGCCGCTCGGCCCTGACGTTGATCAAACCACTGTCTCGTGCCTCCTTGTTATTGAAAAATCACTGTGAGGCCGAGGAGAGCGACTTCCCCCGAGATCACCCAAGAGATGCTTGGGCTTCGGCGCCCGGGCCAGGCCCCTGTCGCCTCCTGGGCTTCCACGGCCCTCCCAGGGTGTCTGCCAGGGCTCCCCAAAAGGAGGGGAGGAGCCCTTCCCCTCCCTCTTCCCTGTTACCCAGGGAAGGAGAAACACGTCGCAGGACGCTCCACTGGTCCTTGTTCCTCTGCAGGCGAGCCGCCCATGGCGGGGTCTTCCAAAGATCTATTTCTTTTAGGGGGCAGGGGCCCCACATCGCAGAGGGCAGTCCTCTGCACGAACCGCCTCTGCCGCAGGGCGCAAGGAGGAGGCCCCCTCAGGGGGAGCCGTGGGGCCTCGGGCTTGTCCACCACCCTCGGCAGGCGCATGCGAGCCCCCGGCCCTCCTCTCTGTGGAGAGACAAGAGCCATCTCCTGCAGGTGAAAAGAAGCACGTCAGGCCGCATCCCCCCTTCCTGGCAGTGCTGCTCCAGCCCCCTTGCGGGGAGGAACAGGAGGGGCGGTCCCAAGCCGGAGCGGCACTGAGGGCCAGCCCAGCACCGAGTGCGAACAGCAGGCGGGGCCCCTTCCGCTCCAGGGACGGAGCCGGCCGCGGTCCCGCACCTGGGATGGGGCAGGTGCACCAGAGGGCAGGGGTGGCCCTCGCCGGGCTCAGCGGCCCCGGAGGGAGGCGAGAGGAGGCTGCTGCGGGGGCAGCTGAACTGCTGCAGGGGGATGAGAGCTGGCAGTGATGGCATCTGATTAATAAATCCCCAGTCATTAGGGGAGGACATTTGGTGAGGTTCGTGAGATAAAGGAGCTTTGGGGAAATTGATTGCCACGGAGGGAGCGAGTCCCACTGGCTGCCTCCTTGGGACCCCAGTGAAAGCGGCTTGAGCGGGCAGTGGAAGGCAGGCGGGCCGTCGCCTGGGGGGGTCTCGCTGCCTCCGCAGGGCATGCGGGCCAGGGCTGGGGAGGGGCCCTTCCTTCCCTGCCCAAGGAGAGGGCAGCTGGCCTGGAGAGACACTCGGTGGCCGTCCAGGATGCTGTTGAGAGAAAAGCAGCCTTCTCCTGGCCAGGCCGAGGTGCGTCCGGGGGGGGGGGGGCAGTGCCGCCCTCCGGCCGCTCAGTTCCATCCGGTGCAGCTCTCGAGGGGGGGAGCACTGGCCATGCCCAGCTCCAGGGGGCCTCCAGGTGCTAATGAGTCCATCCGTCTGTGTAGCTGCTCCTCTTTCTCTCCTTAATGGCGCTTCCGCAGCTTGGAGGGAATGGTGGGAAGAGACGGGAGGGTTGCAAATGGGAAATCGATCCCAGAGGAAGGCGCTGGCAGCGTGGCTGCGGCTGGGCCGGGTGGGAAGCCGGTTGGGAAGCTCGGCAGCCCCGCTCCGAGGAGTCCTCAGCAGCGGGAGGAAGGCGCTCTGCGCCTGCTCCGTTGCCAGAGGGTCGGCCGCTGCCAGTTCGTCTGCAGCAGCAAACCAGCGAGGAAGGCCGTGCCCCCTGCACAGAGGGGGCTGTTCTGAAGCTGGCCCGGAGGAAGGGCTGGCGGCCACGGCGGCCGGCTCTGCTACGGGTGGCGAGCCAGGCTGGGCGGTCCCGGGCGGCTCCTGTCCCGGCAGCGGTGCGGAAGGGGCCGGAGCGGAGGGCCCGCGGTCTGCACAAGACCCGAGAGGGGCGGAGGGCTTGGCCCGGCCCGGTGAGCGAGGGGCAGAGGCCGGAGGGTGCCTTGGCACCTGCCCGCCGCCGAGTGCTCCCAGAGGCGCTCCGGCAGGCCCCCTCCCCGAACCTGGCACCTCGACAAGAAGCCTCCCATGGGAACGGACGGAGGAGTGTGTGGGGAGCGGCTCATTAGCGTCTCAGCTGCACGCACCGCATGCAGGGCGGAAGGAGGCGGAATCCTGCCCTGCTTCCAGCGGAGCGTCAGGCAGCCGGATTGGCGGCCCGTCTCTTCGGAGGGAGCCGGGAGAGGCGCTGTGCGGCTGCAGCCAGAGAGAAAGGGCAGGCAGCGCGCCTTCCCCCACCGCGAAGCATTCAGCTCTGCCCCTCCCTCCACCGGCATCGCTTGACTCTTAATCCAAAGGAGCCCCGTCCGTCGGGCCTCTGGGAACGGCCCGGGGCTCACGGGCCTCTCGTCCTCGTGTCTGTTTAACATTACTCACAAAGAGCACAGCCTGTGTGTGCTTTGTGTGTTTTCCGCTCACTCACGGAGAAGAAGGGCCGCAGGGCTGCCCCAGGACAGGAGTGGCCCGTCTGTGCTGTGCTGTGCTGGGCCGTGTGCCCTCAGCAGCCCCGGGGCAGAACCGCCAAGAGGCGCAACGCTGCCCCCGTGAGCGGGCCACAGAGGCTGCCCGCTTCACGGGTGGGAACGGGGAGGGAGCCACCCTCTGTGGCCACCAGAACCAGCCCGTGGGCCAGGGCAGCAGTGGGGCCGGGGCCGGGCCCCCCGGCCTGTCCGTGGCCCTTGCCCCCACGCCCTCCCTGCGCACCCAGGTGGACCGCTCCGAGGTGATCCGGAGCAACCTGAACCCGGTCTTCGCCAAGGTCTTCATGGTGGACTACTACTTCGAGGAGGTGCAGAAGCTGCGCTTCGAGGTCTACGACATCCACGGCCACAGCAGCATCGGGACCCACGACGACGACTTCCTGGGGGGCATGGAATGCACCGTGGGCCAGGTAGGGGGCAGGTGCGGGGGGCGAGCGGCGCGCAGCGCTCTCCTTCCCGGTCCTTTGGCCCCGCGGCGTGACTTTCCGGCGGAGGGGAGATGTTTCTTTGCTTGTTTGCTTCTTGGTTTGTTTCCGACGTGCCGATGCTGCTCTTTCTTGCCGAGTTAAGGGCAGCGCACCAAAGGCTCCTTGGCAAAACTTGGAATGGCAACCAGGAGGGGAACGTGTCCCGGTCCAGGGCCCCGAGCCAGGCTTCCCACACCCAGGGCTGCCGAGCGAGGGCCCGCTCCGGAGGTGCTTCTGGGCGCACCGTGCACGCTCCCCCCTGCACTCGCGCCAGCGCCCTGGGGCCCGGCACTGCCAGCGCTCCCGACGTGTCCCAGCCCAGCATTCTCCGGGCGTGTGCCGTCTGCCTTTAAATGGAGCAAAACGGAGTGGGGCGTTCACACTGGAACGACCGCGGGTGCCAAGTGGAGCCTGCTCCTGGCGCCTCCGCCTCTGGCTGCTCTGGGGGCCGTTCGGGGGCCCAGGGTGTGGCCCCGAGGCTTTGGCCCCGGCTCGGCCCCGCCGCTCGCACGCGGCTCAGGCTGACGGTTGCGCCTGCCTTGCAGATCGTGGCCCAGAAGCGCATGAGCAAGCCGCTCGTCCTGAAGTACGGGAAGTTTGCCGGCAAGTCCACCATCACGGTGAGTGTGCCACGAGCCAGCCCCGCCCCCCCGGTTGGGTTGGGGGCCCCTCCTGGCCTCGGGGCCACCGGACACGTCCCGCACTCACGCCCTGCTCCGCTGACAGGTGACCTCTGAAGAGATTTCCGGGGACAACGGCTTTGTGGAGCTCTTCTTCCGGGCGAAGAAACTGGACGACAAGGTAGCTGGGGCCGTGTGGGGCCGCCGTGCGCCCTGCTGTGGCGTCCAGATGACTCGGCCACGTGGGGCAGGGAAGGCGGGCGACGGCGGGCGCGGGGGGCGGTTTGGGCAGACGTGGCCACCCTGGTGTCCCCTGAGGCAGCTGGGAATTCTGCTCCCGTGTGCCGGGACGCCCGGGCCTGTGGTGGCCGCCCCGGTCTGCTTGCATGAGGGCCTGCCAGTGCCCCGGCCAGCGGCCCGGCTGCTTCCTGGAGCTGGGCTGCTGCAGAGGGGGGTCCCAGGCAGGCCCATGCTGGCAGCACGGGGTCCTGGGTCCAGGGAGGGTGGCGGGGGGGCATGCCTGACATCCGCTCAGCTCCTCACTCAACAGCTGGGTGGGTGACTGGGCTCAGGTCCCCCCTCCATGCACCCCCCCCATCTTCCCAAGGACCCTGCACGATCGCCACTGGAGGACCCAGGGCAGGCCAGGGCAGGGCTGGGTTCACACGCTGCAACCGGGTAACGGCTCCCGCCTGGCTTCTCCCCAGGACCTCTTCAGCAAATCTGACCCCTTCCTGGAGATCTACCGGATCAACGATGACGGCAGTGAGCAGCTGGTGCATCGCACCGAGGTAAGAGTTTCCAGCCGGAGAAGGACGGACTCCCCCGTGCTGCTGACGCAGCTGGGCCCCCAGTGCTGCAGTTCCTCCGAAACCGGAGGGGAATCTGCGTGCAGGAGAACCGTGCAGCTCCCGCGGCATGAGAGGGGCCAGTGGTGGCGAGCCCGTGGCACGTGTGCCGCAGTGGCACGCAGGGCCCTCTCCGTCGGCACGCCAGCCGAGCCGCCCCAGCATCGCCCCAGCAGCCGAGCATCGGGTAACAGCGCACATGGGGGCCATGCGCATGCTCGGAAAGGAGTTGTGGTGCCAGGCGATGACGTCACGAGCCCCGACTCATCCGAGCTTTTGCATGGCCGGTCAGCGCGCTGCCAAGGGTGCATATATATTTGCTTGCACTGGCTGTGAGGGTTTTTTCTAAACTATAACCTCAGTTTTCAGGTTTTATTGCAGTGTTGGCCCTTTGCGATAAATAGGTGGGTTTTGGGTTGCAGTTTGGGCACTTGGTCTCCAAAAGGTTCGCCATCACTGGGTTAGGGTTAGAAAAACGAGGTGTCTCCATCCCAGAATACACAGACCAGCCAAGACCCAGAGGGCGAATGCTGTTGAAGGAAATGGCCCTGGTCCGTTTTCCAGCACCGCAAGCATTGCCTTGTCCCAACGGGCCCCGGCAGGGAGGCGGAGATGAGCCGCAGAAGGGGCCGGCCCGGCTTGGGCTCGTGCCTGGGCTCTGGGGGTCTCCGGAGGGACCTGGCCCGGCGCGTGGTGCCAGCCCTGCCGGCGGCAAGGAGTGCCCTGTGCCCCGCAGGGGAGTCAGGGCCGCTTTCCGCCTTGTGCTTCCAGTTCGTCAAGAACAACCTGAGCCCCATATGGGAGCCGTTCAAAGTCTCCCTGAACTCGCTGTGCAGCTGCGAGGAGAAGCGGAAGCTGCGGGTGAGTCAGGCCTGGGGAAGCTCGTGTGCCTTGCCCTGGAGTTGCTGGGCTGCAGCCCCTCGGTAGGACCCCGCCTGCCCTGCGCAGGGCCCTGATTCGGCCCCCATGGGCCTCTCCAGGAGGGCTGGGAGACCCCCTGCCCACATTGGGGAAGGCCGATTCCAGGGCAGCTGGCTGGAATGCTTCCTGGCTGGAAGCTGGAGGAAGGGCCGTGGCTGCCGGTCCGTGCCTGCAGTATGGGGCTGGCCGGGGCCGGGGCTGCCTCGGGGCTTCTGGCTACGGGCCACGCCAGCGCTGCTGAACGGGTCGAGCAGCTGCCGAGGTGCCTAGCGGTGTCTTCTCGGGTGCAGTGCGTCGTGTTTGACTACGATTCCCGGGGCAAGCATGACTTCATCGGAGAATTTTACACGACCTTCGAGGAGATGCAGAAAGCCACGGGGGGAAACAAGGTGGGTGTGCAGGGAGGCCCACGACGCCCCGGAGCTGGTCGCTTCAGTTCCGCAACTTTCCCAGAGGAAAACCCGGCATTGCCCAGACCTGCCAACGGCTACCGGTCACACCGGCTGCAGAACTCGCTCGAGTGCCGGGAGTGCCGGGTTGGGGAGCAAAGCCAGAGGCCCCCGCTGCCCTTTCGTCCGCCGGGGCCACGGTTCGGCTGCCGCGGGACCCGGAGGCTGGGCTAGAGCGAGCCTGGGGCGGATCCAGGTGCTCTTCCGGCAAGCCCTCACCTGTGGGTGCCGCGGTGCAGCCGCTCCCGGCAGGCTTAGAGCTGGGGCTGGCCAGGCACAGGGAGGTTTTGGGGGGCTCCGGGTGCCGCCCCCGACTTCGGCCCCACGCTGCCTCACGCCCAGGCCAGGCCTGCTCCGGCCACGCTTGGGTTTGGGCCGGCCTGGGGGGAGCCAGCCCTCCCCGCCAGGCCTGGTCGGCATTCCTGAGCACACCTCCCGCTCCCCCCCCGCAAAACCAGATTCAGTGGGACTGCATGAACCCCAAGTACAAGCTGAAGAAGCGGAACTACAAGAACTCTGGCGTGGTCATTCTGCTGGACCTGAAGGTACGCCGGGCGGCTCCCCTGTCTTCTGGAGTTCCAGCCGGCCCTCACTGCGCTCCGGGGAGGGCAGAGACCTCGGGGTGGAGACGGGGCAGCGGAAAGGCGGTATCTGCAGCCCGCAGCACCTTCCGGCCCCTCAGGGTCGGGCACCGGACCCTTCCCCAAAGCCTGCCCCTCCCTGCAAGTCACTCGCCTCCAGGCAGGGCCAGCACCTTTTGGCATTGCCTCCCCCCCGCCCCCCCCCCCCCCCCCCCCGGCATTGCCTGACCTGCCGCTTCTCTGAAGATCCACAGGGTCTACTCGTTCCTGGATTACATCATGGGCGGCTGCCAGATTCACTTCACGGTGAGCAGCGGGCGCCTTCCCCGCCAGCCCCGAGTGGCATGTTCTGATGGCCCCCACAGAGTGCGTGCAGAGAGTGGGAAGTGGGGGGGGGGGCTCTGGCCTGTGCTGACCCGCCTGGCCGGTCCCGGGATTTCAGGACAGGCCTCCTCTGGGGGTGTCTAGTGCAGTCCAGGTGTCTCCCACCTAGGATGATGCGGTGAGCGAAGGCCCCCCAAGCTGCCCCCTCCCCCCCCGCTCCAGGGGCGGCTTCCATGATGGGGTCCGCTCACCTCCCAGGGCCCCCCCTCCTGCCTCCCCCTCTCCCGGCATGGCTGTCTTCTCCAAGTCCCGCCTTTCCAGGGGTGCCCAAGTTCGGCAGCCGCAGACGGGCCGGTCTCGCTTCTGGGGCAGGATCCGGCACGGTTGGGCCGGGCGCCTCCTGGGGAGGGGTCCCTACGCCGGGGGGGCTCTGCAGCGAGGCTGTTGCGGCTGTGCTGGGGAGAGCCCGGCGGAGCGGCCACGTGGGAATCCGGCCTGGGCTCGGCCAGCGACCTCTGCCTCCGTGACGAGGCTCGGCGTGGGCCCGGGCTGGCGCGTGGGGCCGCTCCCCCCCGGCCCCCCCCGGCCTTGCTGCCAGATTGTGCTGTGCAGCTTTGCCCAGATTTCTTCCTGGAAAACAACCGGCACCCATATTGCCTCTGAAAGAGCATCTCCATCCCGGAGTGAGTCAAATCCCAGAACATTCGAGGAACAGATTGCTGGCTGCGGCTTCCTCGCTCACAGGGCTGCCAGCTGGGCACCATCCCAGGAGCAAGGAGCCCCTCCGGGGGGAGGCGTCGCAGGCTCCGTGGAGAGGCAGCGCAGGGGCCACGGAGGCAGCGAGCGGCACGAAGCTGTGCTCACGCCTGTCCTAGGGGCGAGCGAGCCGGGAACGGGGCTGCCGCCCCAGATCCTGGGCAGGGCTGGCGCTGAGGGTTGGTGTGCGCGGTCCCGGCCGAGGGCCCCGTACCTGCAGGGGCCCCCCCGCCAAGCGCCCCCCGCTGCCTCCTGCTTGTTCCCCACCCTGGCCCGGCCCAGGCACCGGTGTCGTGAGGAGGAGCCGGAAGGAGACGCCGTGGCCCCCAGCCCCGGGTCCCATGCTCCGCAAGCCAGAAAACGGAACCGTGGGAGGAGGAGCGGAAGCAGTGGGTGCTGAGGCTGCGGCTCGCAGGGAAGGGGGCCCCTGGGCATCCTGCCGAGGCCTGCGCTGAAAGCCAAGGTCCAGATGCATTCGGACGGGGTGGGCAAGGAGGACGGAGGGGACCAGTGTCCAGGACCTGCTCAGCCTGGCCCCTCTTCGCACCCCAAGCGCTTGCTTGGCTGAATGCCAAGCATTCCAAGGACGCTCCTGCAAGGAGGAGCCAGAATTTCCTCGGAGAAGGAAAGGGGCTTTGCGAGCACCCCCGGCACCTCCCTCTCCGGCCTTGTCCGGCGAGAGAAGCCTCGGCGGGAGGCTCGGTCTGGCCCGGGGCCGCGGCTCTCCTGAGGCCCCCCTTTCCGTCTTCCCAGGTGGCGATCGACTTCACCGCCTCCAACGGGGACCCCCGGAACAGCTGCTCCCTCCACTACATCAACCCATACCAGCCCAACGAGTACCTGAAGGCACTCATGACAGTGGGGGAGATCTGCCAGGACTACGACAGGTGTGTGGGCGAGGGTCCGGGCACCGCCGGCCCCTGGAGCGGCCGCTCTCTCCTCCTCGGCCTCCAGCCCTGCGAGGGGCCGACTCTGGGAGGCCGGGCGGGAAGGGTCGGGCTTGGAGACGCCCAGCGCCGAGCCTGGGGAGCGCCGGCTGGGGGCTGCTGGGAGCCAAGGGCCGGATTCCCGTTGGAAGAGGCTGGTGGGGGGAGCACATTCCTGTGTAAGGGGGGGCAAGTGCTAACTGATCAAGGACACCCCCAAATACCAGGCATGTCTGAGTTTTCATCCTTTGTGGACAGTCATGGCGTAAGCTTCGAGAGGGCCGTTTGGTCCATTTTGAAGAGGGGAAGAGGGACCCAAAGTGGGGGACCCCGAATGGTTTTGGGTGGGGAGAAGGGTGGGGCCATGTGGGGGGCCTGGCCCCCGGGGGGGTGCCGTAGCCCCTTTGCTGGGAACCCCCTCCTGGCCAGCCGGGGACACCGGCAATCGATGCCCGACACCTCGCATCCTTCCTGCCTCCCCACAGTGACAAGAAATTCTCCGCCTTGGGCTTTGGAGCCAGGATCCCACCCAACTACGAGGTACGTGGAGGCTTGGGATGAGCTCCCGGGTGGATCCTTCCCTGCACAAGCCCCGCCTGAGTGCCCTGTTTGGAAAGCATCCGCCTGAGGGAGGGAGGTCCGTGGCGGCTGGGTGGCCGGCCCCCGAGCGCCCCTCGCCTCAGCGGCAGCGAGCGTGGCGGGAGCACCGAGGAAGGCTCAGCCGGGCGGGAGCTGCTGCCCGGGGGGGCCGGGGCCCTCGGCCGCTCTGGCTGCGGGAGGCCGACGATGGGGCCGGACTCCGAGGGTCGCCCCCAGCCTGCTGCCCCCCAGCCTCAGCTTGTGCCGCAGCAGCCTCTTGTCTGTCCTCCCCACCCCACGGGGACACGGGCTCAGTCGGGGGGGCACCTTGACCGCTCCCCACACTCCAGAACAGCCCAGGGGGCCTGGCTGTGCACTTGTTGCTTTCCCGAGGGGAACCTTCCCCCCCCCTTCCAGCCAAGACCCCCTGGGGACCCCACTGAATCACCAGGGGGCCCATGGTGCCACTGGCCGTGCTGGGCAGGGGCAGGCGGCACGGCCCGCCAAGGCGCTCGGCTGCGGCCCTCCGGCCGCATCGGACCCTTCACACCTGCCCGTGTTCCTCTTCCATGCAGGTTTCCCACGACTTTGCCATTAACTTCAACCCAGAGGATGACGAGTGTGAAGGTAACGGCCCCGTCGACGTGCTTTGGGTTCCTCTTTGCGTGTTACAGGCTGGAAAGGGGGTGACTTTTCCTTCTGGGGCACCGTCTTTATGAGCCCCCCAAAGAATTCCCGACAGGTGGCCACCCGTCAGAATCAGCCCCCTGGCGCCCCTCGGTTGCCCAGCTGCTGGGGGAGGCGGCATGGCCTGGGCACCCACACCCTCCCCTCCCCACAGGCATCCAGGGCGTGGTGGAGTCCTACCAGAACTGCCTGCCCAAGATCCAGCTCTACGGGCCGACCAACGTGGCCCCCATCATCACCAAGGTGGCCCGGGTCGCCGCGGAGGAGGAGAAGAGCAAGGAGGCCTCGGTGCGTGAGCGAGGGCGGGAGCGAGCGGCTCGGCTCGCCTCTCGACGCGCCCCCTGCGCCTGCGCCCCCGGCCCAGCGGGTCTCGCAGAAGGTCCTGCCTGCGGGCTGCCCGCCTCGCCTCGCCTCGCCTCCCCCCCAGGCTGCCGGCGAGCTGCTGCGGGGACTCTCAGGCACGCGAGAAAGTGCCTTAATGAGCTCCTCCATTATTCAGGCCCGCCAAGTACTCGGGGAGCGAGGGACAGGCCCGCCGCCCTTCCTCTGGGATCGCTCCCGCCCGCGCTCTGCTCGCGAGCGGGTGAGCACTTTGCTGCCAAGCCAGCCCGCGAATGACGGGGCCGAGGCAGCCGTGCTGGCCTGAGCGGAGGGCGAGCAGGAGCCACCCCAGGAGCCGCTCCTCCTGGCCGAGTGGGAGTCGAGCGTGAGGCAGGGTGAGGGGCAGCACCCCGAGGGGCCTTGGGAGCCCGCCCGCCCAGGGACCTCGCTGGTGCCCCCGTTGCTCTGTCTGAGGCTCGTGGCGAGCGTGGGGTTCGCAGCTCGGGCCGACCGGCTCCCGCCCTGCTACAGGCCACCCTCCCCAGCCAGAGCCCGCCAGGGGCCGGGGCCGGGGGCATGCTCCTCGCCCCGACTGACCCCGCTGCTCACCAGCTTCCTTCCACAGCAATACTTCATCCTGCTGATCCTGACGGATGGGGTGGTGACCGACATGGCGGACACGCGGGAGGCAATTGTCCGGGCCTCGTACTTGCCCATGTCCATCATCATCGTCGGTGTGGGCAACGCCGACTTCACCGACATGCAGGTCTTGGACGGGGATGACGGCGTCCTGCGCTCCCCCAAGGGCGAGCCCGTCCTGCGGGACATCGTGCAGTTTGTCCCCTTCCGGGAGTTCAAGAATGTGAGTGGCCCCAGCGCTGATGCACGCCCCTCTGCCTCAGTTTCCCATGCCGTGAAGCAGGAGGACTGAGCCTTGGGCGCACGGGCTGAATGTGGCTCCCCCAGAGGGCCTTGCCCCCTCCCCAGCCGGCCCCACGCCTCTTCCCGCCCCTGGCTACTTGCGGGCGTCCTGCTCTGGGGAGTCTCTCCCCCATTTGGAAGTCCGAAACGCCTCCCTTGAGGAGGGCCTCCTGGTGGGAGACGCCCACAATGAAAAGCTCTCCCCCCCGGAAAGCAGCCGTGAGGGATTCTGGCCTCAGACTGGAAGCACTTTGCTGGCAGGGACTCCTGGAGGGGGCGGGGCTTGCTGGTGGCACTCGAGACTGGCGGGACCTTGTGCGGAGAGGCAGCAGCCCCCCGCTGAGCTGTGGGGGAACCGGCATCCTCTGGCTCTGGGGCTGAGGACCGGGAGGACTCCCCAGCACGGGGACCACCCGGTGGTCCTGCTGCAAAGGGGCCCGGAGGCCTCTGCAGGGCCCGGGGGGCGTGCTGGAGCGGACCTGGCCCCCCAGCCGGCCCAGAGGGCTGCGTGGAGGTCCCGGGCGCGCCTGCCAGGCGCTTCTCCCGCCCTCGTCTGCGTCGCGCATGCCAGAGAGGAAAATCCACGGCTGGGTATTTCTGGCAGCCAGAGACACAAGATGCTCGGCCACCGCGAAGGCTTAATTGGGTTTGATTGTCAGTAATTTTGGCCTCAGGAGACAAGCTGTCTGTTGCTGAGCCTGAAAGCCGTGAAGCAGTGGGATTAACCCCCCAGGCCCTGGCAGCCGGTATGGAGAAGAGACGGGCGATTACTGCAGAGCGCTGGACGGTCCCAGGCCGGGGGGGTGGGTCTCGCCCTTGCTCGAGACGCCCCCCCACCCGGGCAGCGTTCTCGGGGCCGGCCAGCGGCAGAGGCAGCTGCAGCTGCAGCGTGGTGGTGGTTCTCTGCCTGGCCGGCCCCGCAGGCCCTCGCGGTTTGCAGTCAGGATACGCCCAGGGGCCGCGGAGACGGTGGTCCAGCGGCGCCTTTTGTGGCGCAGAGTTGTGGGACCTGAGCCGCCCCCCGGCCTGAGAGCGCTTCCCCAGGCGGGGCATCTCCTTCCCTCGGCTGTGCCAGGGAGGCGCTCAGCAGCCGCTGTCGCATGCGCTCCGTCCGTCCTCGCTCTGTGTCCGCGCCCAGCCTCTTGCTCCGAGCCGTTTGGCAAGGGCTCTGCTCTGCCGCAGGGGCAGAGGGCGGACCAGGAGCCGGTGGGCCACCGGCAAGGCAAGGGGGGGGGGGCCTTCTGCGCAGCCACGAAGCCCCTGGGAAGGCGCAGGACAGCAGGGCGCGTCTCCGTCGGGGTGGCGTCCTCCATGTGCCGCGTCCCAGGGAGGCGCCGAGTGGCCGAGTGGCCGTGGCGATGCCTCGAAGCCCAGGGACGTCCTGCGTCCCGGCCCCAGTGGCGAGAGGGCAGCCCCCACCCCGCAGGGGCGCCCTCCCCAGGGGAGCCCAGCTCACTCCTCGCCCGCTCTCTGTGCTTCTTCCAGGCCTCCCCGACCGCCCTGGCCAAGTGCGTCCTGGCTGAGGTGCCCAAGCAGGTGGTGGAGTACTACAGCTACAAGGCCTTGCCACCCCGCTGCACCAAAGGGACCGCCCCCAACTCCACCCTGAGCTCTCCTCAGTAACACGGCCCCCCCGGGCTCCAGCCACCTTTTCTGTCCGTCCGTCCGTCTGTCTTTCCTTCATTTGCCAGCAGACTCCCCAGGGAATAAAAGGGACAGGGAGCGCCCCGAGGGTGCCTAGGGATGCAGGACGGGCCGGATGCTTCCTCCCACAGCGATCTACCACCAGCGCTGCGCAGGATCGGCTTGGCCGGCGCTCCTGGCCAGGCCTCAGCGCAGCGCTGCAGCACCGTCCCCATGTGCCTCCCCAGCCATAAGAAGATTGAAGTGACGGGCAGCCCCCAGATGTGAGTCAGTCCAGGGTTCGCCCAAGCCTGGTTCTCCCTAGAGCAGGGGTCTCAAACTCAACTTACCTGGGGGCCGCTGGAAGTAGAGTCTGGGTGAGGCTGGGCCGCATCAAGGATTCACCGCGGTGGTGGTGGGTCGCTCATCCTGCGTCGCTCCCGGGGGCCGCTGGCACTTTGATGGCCGCAGGACCCCTCCCCCGTGCCCCGCCCGTCCCGGCCATTGGCCCGTGGGCCGCGAGTTTGAGACCCCTGCCCTAGAGGAATGTGGGGCTGCCCCGGAAGGCCACCTGCCTCCTGCAAGAGGTGCCGTCACTTGGACAGTCAGGAACCCCCCAACAGAGAAGCCAGCGGGGCTCTGGCGGCCAAACGGTTTTGAGGAGGAGGCAGGCCAGGAAGGACATGGAGCGCTTGGCTGGGGAAAGCGAGCTTGTCCCACACGTCACCCCCACCCCCACCCCAAGGGACTCCGGTGACCTGACCCGTTTGTTCCGGTGTGAGCCCCGCATCCAGGGTGAAAGAGCCTCACCCAGCCGAAACTGCGCTAAGAAACCCCCCACTCCTCTTCCTTGCAGAGGCCCCGTGAAAGGCGAGGGGGGCACGGGAGGGGGTCCTGTGGAGGTAGCCCCATCGGGCTGGGATGCTCCCCTCCTGGGGGCCCCGTCCCCATCCCATGGGGGTGCCTGGGGCCTTTCCGGGGCGCTTTTTGCCGGGATGGGGCCAAGGGGAGGGAGGGGCTGAGGCAGCCGCAGCACCCCTTGCCCAAGTCCCCGGACAACGGGTCACGTGCCCTGGTCCTCGTGGCCCCCGTGGCCTCCGTGAGTGGCAGGTGGGCCTCTCGCTTCCGCCGGGAGGGACTGCCGGGGCACAGCCCGCCCTCCACGGTCCACGGGCACGGCCACCACAGGCGGTCCCGGGGCCCGCTGCCTGGCAGCCACCCTGCGCCCACTCCACGGCCCCCGCCTGCGCATGCCTCGAGCTGGGCTCCTGTGGAGGCCCGGCAGCCAGCCCCGCCTGCTCCTCCGTGTGGCACGTGGTCGCCTGTGCTGTGAGTCGTCGTCCGCATGACAAATCTGCTGTTTCCCATGTACCGGCGGAGGCAGCCAAATAAAAGGAGATGTGTGTTTTCTCCCGTTCTCTGTAGCTCTTTGAGGGGAACGTGAGCCTCCCCCGCGGCCGGCGTGTCCGGGAGCCGCCGGGGCATCGGTGACTGAAGCAGTGGGGGGCAGCGGTGTCCCTGAGGGGCTGCCACGTCCAGCCAAGAGGGCCCCTTCCGGGCCCCGGCGGGGTTTGGGCAGCCCGCTGGGCCGCAGCTCTGCAGCCGAAGACATCTTGGGCCACGTATCTCTGGAAGGCACGGCGATGCCGCCTCGCGGGACTCGGCCGCAGCGATCGCTCCGGCTGGAAAGACGCGGCGGCTGCGGCCTTGCACACCACGGCACCCTCAAACTCCTCTGAAACCCCGAAATGCCGCTGCCGCGGCGCAGGTGCCTCTGCGTGTGCCCAGCCGTGCCCGGCCGTGCCCGGTGGGGTGCCGGCCGCCGGGCTGGCCCGCGGCCTCAGCGCCTCCCTCGCTCCCTCCGCAGCTCTTGTGCACTGGCATCCAGGCCGTCCGGAGCACGCAGTGTGGCAGGGAGGTGTGTGCACAGGACGTTCCAGGCACAAGGTACGGACAGGGACGATCACGACACAGCCCAACAGTGGAAAGCTTCCTGGCACACAGATATCTTGGTGCCGAAAAGCTAATTTACACACGCAGTGATAAGCGCCTGCCACCCGCAATTCAAGCTACTGGCGATAGAATTTCAGGAGCCATTGCAATTTGGAGTAATTTCACGCTGCAGCTTCCCTTTGATTTTCTCTGGCTTGAAAAGGCCTGGGAAAGCCCGCAGTGGGGCGTCCCCATTTTCGAGGATTGCTGTAGTCAGGAAAGGGGGCCAAATGAACGGCAAGGCGGAGGGAGGGGAAGGACTCCACGTAATGGATTTGCTGCACTTAATGGATTTCCGCCTTCACCGCCTTGGTGACCCCGTATATTTTGGGCCGCATCTCCCAGAATTTCTGATGGAGCCAGAGCCCAAAATATCTGGAGGTTCCAAGCCAGGGAAGTCCTCACGGCGCCAGCGGAGGGAAAATAGACCGCCAGGAATAAGCTCGGAGCCCACATTTCGATCTCTCTCCTTTCCTATTATTTTTTACACTGAATGCCCTTTGATGCAGTGGTTTCTCCAGGAGGTGGGGAGCGACCCCCAGCCCCCCGCCATTTCCTGTCTCAGCACAGATCACGCCAGCCTGCAAAATGCGATCGGATCCTCTTGTGCGCACCTGCTCCGGGCTGCAGCCTCCCGGACAGGCTGCTCAGAGTGCCCAGCGCAGAGGAGGCCGATCCACTCACCTGCCATGAAAAGGCCGCTCGGTAGCATTTGTGCTAAATGCAGCCCCACATAATGGGAGCATTAAGCAGCCAGGGAAGGCGCAATGCGATCTGAGTGGCGGCGGCGGCAGGCAGGGAGACCAGCGTGTGCGAGGCGTTCTTGGCAGCCGCGCCAGCCGGCCGGCTCAGCCCAGGCTGGGGAAGACGCAGCCCCGCCGTCCGTGCCTCCGTGGCCGGGGCAGGAGGCGTGTGGCCTGGCCTTCCCAGGCCAGCTCCCAAATACAGTTGGGGGGGGAGCTGCTGTGCGGCAATAACCTTTCTGGGAGTCACTAAACCTCCCATGAGCAAAGGGTCACCAGAACCGTCCTTCCAGCGGGACTTGACGTGAAGCAGGAGCCCCAGGAAGCGTCTGGAAGAACACAGGTGCTCGCGCTCTCCCTCAGGGACGTTTTTGTTGGGCCTCAGAAGAAATACTGCATTGTACACAGTTTGGTCCTTCACAGAAAGTTTCCCTGTGCGGGAGAAAAATTACATTCACGTGCAAAAATCAGCCTCTCCCAAGAGAGGGCTGGATTATGGCTGATGAGGAATCGCTGTTGATCCCCGGAGAGTCGCTGGGTCGTTTCCCACGCAGGCGACACGGCTGTGGCCGAGACGGGCGCATGGCACGCAAGCAGCGAGCAGCCCAGACTCTTCCAGCGGGCGAGGCGGCCTCGCTCCCCCTGCTCGCGCAGGCTCGCCTGGGCTACCAGCCTCCTCTCCGCCCTGCCCGCCCCTCGCCAAGCCCCAGCCGCCCGCACGAGTGGCGGGCGCGGATCGCAGCCCCCGCCCGCGAAGGCCTTCTCCCCGCGGACGAGCGGGCGGCCGCGGCGCTCCTTCCCCTTGCGCAGAGCCCCCGCTTGCCGCGGCGCGGCCCGCCCCCTCCGGGCAGGCCCGAAGGCGGCCCGCCGCCCCAGCCCCCCGCCCGCAGCCTCGCGGGGCCCCCCCGCCTGACCCTTCCCCGCGCAGCAAAGGAGCCGGGCGCTCGCTCCGAGGCGGCGCCGTTCAGCGGGGACGGACTGATTGTTCTGACTGTCGGGATAATTGCTCGAATTGTTCCTGCAATAAATGCGGCGCGGAGCGAGCGACGAGGCGGGGAGCGCACCTGCTCGTGGGAACGGCGGCGCGCGCCCCCGCAAAGCGGCCGGGCCCGATCCGAGCGCGGGACGCCTCGCGGGACGGCGCCCGGCGGGCAGGGGAAAGGGGGGGGGCGTCGCTCAGCCCCGGGAGAGCGAGGCCGGGGCGGGCGGGGCTGTGGGGGCCCCACTTCGGCCAGCGGGTCGTGGCCAGGCCCCTCGGGGGGCATCCGCGGGCGGGCGGCGCTTCGGAAAGGCCGGGCTCGCAAGTCCCTTCAGGAGCAGCCGAGGCTCTCGGGCTTGCTCGGAACGGCACCGTCCCTGCGGCTTGCTGGGGATGCTGGGCGTCGTAGTCCCGCGCATCATTTGGGCCAGCCCGGCGAGACCCGCCTGGCCCGGTCGCCCCCGCAGAGGCGCCGCCCCCCCCGCCTGCCGGCCCAGCCGCTCTGACCCGCGGGGCTCCCCGCGCGCATTCGGCCCCGGCCACGTGCCGCCCCTCCCGCCCCACCTGCCGCAGATCTTCTTATTTATAGTTCTTGATTCATCTCCTTTATACAGAGGGATAATAGACGTCACCATAGTAACCCCGGTGCCTACGAATCCCGCTCGGAGCGGCCCTCGGCGTGAAGCAGATGCTCCTCGAAGCGCCAGGAAGGGGAGCCTCCTCGCCGCGGCAGGGCGGGCCCGATCCACCAGAGCAGGGTGGGCGGGGGCGGGCTCCCGCAGCCCCCCTGAGGTCTTTGGTGCACCAGGCGGGTTTGGGCCTCTGCAGGGACAACGCTCTCCTCCCCATGGCGCGTTCGCGAGGGAACCCGGGCAGGGCCCCTGCCAGCGCCGCTTGCCATGAGCAAGATCCCGCATCAGCCCAGCCAGGAAGGGCCCTTCCGTGCCGGGGGGGGGGGGGGGGGGGGGGGGGGGGGGGGGGGGGGCGGGCAGTCCTGGGCCAGAGGCGCCTGGCTGTCGCGCCTCCATGCAGCCCCTGAGCTTGCTTGCTGGGCGGTCTCGGGCCACTCGCCCGCTCACGACCCGAGCCGCCTCGCAGGGACGTTGTGAGGGCGAGTGCAGCTGGCTCCTGGCGTTGTCGCACCACCGAATCTTCCGCCTTCCACCAGGCCAGAGTGCTTCCCCCCGGGCAGCACTGGCTCCTGGGGTCTCCCGTGCGGAAGCGTCCCCCCCCCCCGGCCACCTGATGATGGTTGCCGCAGTTTGAACCCGGCCGGCTGCATCCTGGCCAGTGGGACCCCCTGCAAGGCAGCCGGGCCGGCGCTCCGGCTGGAAGCTCTGGGCTCTGCCAGGCCTGCCGGAGAAGCGTGACGAGGCCCAACCCTAACCCTTGGCTTGCCCTCTGTGCCCTCGCACCGCTGCCAAGAGCTCGTGCCAAGTCCTGATCGGGGTTGAATGGAAAATTGGGCGCGCCAGGTGGGCAGACCAGGCGGGGGCTGCCGGAAGCGCCGTCCTCTCCCCTCCCCGAAGGTTGACGTGCCCCTGTGAGGGACCAAGAGGCCGCTCCTTGGGCCCCGCCCCCGCCCACCATCGGAAAGGGTCCCCCGCTCTCGCGCCGGAAGGGAATTTACCCCTGGCAGGAAAAGCCTGCGCCCCCCCCGGCTGCCCTCACGGCCTGCTGAGCAGGAGCGGGTCCCAGCGGCCGGCACGGCTCCCCCCGCCCCGACACGCACGTTTTCCTGCCGCACAGTCTGGTCTGCCCAAAGGGGGGGGGGGCGGCTGCACGTGGGTCAGGCCGGCAGCTCCAGCGGCCCTCTGGGATTGCGCCCCCTGCGCTGCGCAGCCCCCCGGCCCCCTTTCCGGAGCGGCATCGTGAGTCCAGCCGCAGCAGGCGGCAGCTGCTCAGAGGGACACAAAGCACGGCTAATTGCAGGGAGCGATTAAGGCGGGGAGCGGGAATGATTGCAGGGTGGGCAGGTGCCCCCCCAGACCTTCCGCAACACGCCAGCAGCAAACAGCCCCCTCCCCCCGCCATCAGGGACTCCGAAAAGTCCCATTCACTCCCAGGGCTTTTCTGCCTGACCCCACCCTCCCCGCGCCACAATCTCAGCACAGATGTGAGTCATTTGCCGCACTTGGCCCTGTCCCCCCCCCCCCCCCCCCAGCGGGTTTGGTGGGCCGTGCGCACAGCACCGCCCAGGATGGACCCGGGCCGGCCCGGAGCACGCAGCCCGCCCACCTCCCGCTTCTCTCTGGCACAGCCCTGCAGGGCGCACCTCCCGGGCACCGCGGCCGCCTGCCTGCCCTCCAGCGCAGCGCCCAGCCGGAGGCAGGCTCCTCTGTGCCCCCGGGAGTCCCACGGGGAGCCCTCGCTGGGCTCCGGGTCCCACAGCCACGGCGCAGACAGCTGGGTCTCGCTCGGGGCGGCTTGAAAGCGTCTCCAGCCACCCGGCTGGTCCGCGGGTCAGAAAGGCAATAGAGCGCAGGCACCGAAGCCGCCCTCCCCTACGAGGTGGCTGTGCTGGACTGCACCTTCCATCATGCCCAGCCAGCATGGGATTTGTGATCCAACACACCTGGAGGATGCACGGTTGTGGAAGGATGCTTAGGAGTCGCACGGGGGGACTCATGGGGGGGTCCGAGCAGATTCAAGCCGGGCGCTGCCTTTTGAAGGGAGGGAGCCCTGCCATGGCCAGCCCCCAGCCAGCCCGGGGGTTACGGCTTTTGAGGAGGGGGTCAGACTCTGGAGCTCGAGGGAGGGGCTCTCACTGAGGAAGGGGCAGGCCGGCTGAGCAGGCCCCATCTGCCCCCTCTGCTTGCCCCTGCAAGCCAAGTTTGCATGAGTTGCCCCCACTCCACACGGTACCGGGCCGGCCCTGGTGTCCCTCGGAGGCGCAAGCCCTCACTTTCGAGCCAGAGAGAGGGATGCTGAGCTCAGGCGGCGTGTGGCAGGACGGGCCCCCCGGGAAAGCGCAAAGCACTTCCCCTCTGCAAGTAGCGCAGGGATGCTTAATGCGAGCGCCAAGATGCATTTTTAACGCCACTTCACCGTCATCATTTTTTAATCTGCCCGCGTCCGCGTCCCGGGAGGGGAGGAGGCGCGGCCGGAGGCTGCTCCACACGTCCGTGGCCTCCGCACGCTTTGCCAAGGTGCCGGCAAATGCCCTTCGTGGGGCCTCGTCTCGGCTGCTCCAGCGCCAGCCCAATCTCGTCCCCACCCCACTCCGCCCCAACCGTGGGCGTTCAAGCTGCACCAGGAGCCCCTTCGGCTCCGTCTTGCCCCACCCGAGGAGCTGAAGTAGACGTGCCTCTGCACCCCAAGCCAGGTGTGAGCTGACTCAATCCCCCTCCGCCGGGAGGAGGTGGACCGCCCCAGCCATGCCCCCAGGGAGCCCCTCGCTGCGTTGGCCCGCAGCATAGAGCGCGGGGGGCGGGGAGCGAGCGCGGCAGATGAGGGGGCATCTTGCAATGTAGGGGGCGCTGCAGAGACGCCAGGGAGGAGGCAGGACCCCCGCACTCAGGTGCGCGGAAAGTTCAGAGGCGGCTCAGTTCCCACCCGGGGCTCCTGCGCCTCGGCAGGGAGAGCAGCCAAGAGGCCAGGCGGCTGGACGCCGTGCCGGGTGTGAAGCGGCACCTGGGCCGGCCCGGCGCTGCCCCTGCGCGGATCCCCGCGGCTCTGCTGCCCCCTGCCGGGCTCGGGCTGCATCTGCCGCGGGCCGCCGCCGCCAGGGGGGGCCTCCGCGCCCCCGGGCGCCGCTCGCACGCGCACATCCCGCCCGCCCGCCGCGCGTGTCCGCGGGAAGGCGGGGGCGCGCGCGCGCGCCGGTCGCTCTGCGCCAGAGGAACGCTGCGGGCGCAACATGAGCCCCGGGAGGGAAGTGGGGTTCCTTTGCCTGGATGAACCTCTTGCCCGCATCCTTGGGGCACAGACCGTGGCCAACACGTGCGCCACAAAGGACCAAGT